CTGAAATAGCCCATCAAAAATCAAGGTGTAATAAAGACATTTTCAGAAAACAAAGCTGAGTAAATTGATCACCATTAAGCTCACACTAAAGGAAACACTGAAAGGAAAGATTCCCATATGAAAATAAAGAGATGTAAGAAGAAGTGAACAGTAATAGAAAGGGTAACTGGGTAAATATACATATAGACAATGTAAAATAATAATAATATGAATTTCTAGTGTGATTTATATGGAGAATTAAAATATATGAAATTGTAGTGAGTGTGAGAGATTTGAGGACTGATCAAGGAAACAGATATGACTACAAGGTGGCAGTAGCACACAATGAGTTTTATTTGGTCAACACTTTGATAGGTTTGTGAGAGTGTGGAGTTCATCAAACCCTGAGACCTTCCAGAGGCTGGTGGGTGGACACCATCCAGAAGGTAAAAAGGGCAAAGGCACTCTAGAGGAATAGGAGTGTCAGAGTTGAGGCTTATGTATGTATGTGATGTCTCTAAGCAACAAGGCAGGGAGTCTCTGGGTCAGAGAATTCTGAAAGGCAACAGCAGTTTAGGTTTTTATATCCCGGAGTTTATCCTACCTATGGCTAGCATATGGATAGAGTTTTACAGGGGTATGCAAAGAAGGCAGCCTCTAAAATGCTAAAAGATCTGCTTATTTGGGCTATATTTAAAGCAATAGAATGTGTAAAAATCGAGTTTGATGCTGGTAGGCTTTTAAGCTTGCAGACCTAGCCTGTTTGAAGAAGTAAACAACATAGGGACCAATATACAGAGGCCATCTTTGGTTCACATATATAACAATCTATCCCCTGGCCCAATGTTATTTTACAACTTAAATTGTATGTTGTTTTGCAGTGCTTGAGTTTGGAGCTAGCTATAAATCAGACAGAATCCTATAAGGGCACAAATTAGGATTTCAAAGCTCTTTCACAGCCAGTCTGCTCACTTAGTGGGGGAAAGCCAGGAGAAGAGATCAGAAAAAGGAGGACATTTTGATTTGTTCAATTGTTTAGTCAATAGACTGACATGACCCCCTTGCCACATGTCCCTGGCTATCTATAAGACTAAAATCAGATTGGCAGAAGAAAAGTCAGCATGTAGTTAAATTTTTTATCATATGTATTGCTGTGGCTAAAGCTATGTGCAGGTTTAGGCAACTGAATGTTCCTTCTTGTTTGGATTGGTGTGCCTTGGTGCTTGAGTTTCCCAATGACTGCCAATAATAAATAGCATCAGAGCGTTTTCATAGGTCTAGAATAAGCTTCACAGGAACACTTAGCTGTTTGAAAAAATTTGTTAATTTAGCCATGTACCAAATTAGATCCTGAACTACGGGGCACTCACACATGTGATCCTCAAAAGTGGGCCAAATTATGTAAAAAATAAACATCAATTTTATTATACATTTGGCCCATTTCTGTCCCCGTTTATCATGATGTTGCTGTATTTCAGTGGGAGACCATCTGCTTCATCATTTCCATTCCAGGGGAAACTTTTCTAGGGAATCCATTCGTAAAACTTTAATAGCCTCCAGGGTGACCCCTTGGGAGATGGTACCGTGATATCACCAATAAATTTCTTCCCAACTTAGCTTTGATACCAGGCTTCTCATTAGTGTTTCTATCTCCTGTATAGTGGTATGTATACTGAAAGATTGAATGTACAAATGGACAATGGCTGTACCATATATAAAAATAGAACTCTGACCCACAACCTTCAGCAACTTGCCCAGGAAACCAATTCCCTTATATGCAATAAGCAGCCCAGGAAGCTAGCCTGCTCTAAGTCAGACTTGTAGAATGTCAGATTGCTATCTTTAGTAACAATCCAGGAAGTTAAACAAAAACTTCTGTAACAATCAGCCCAAAATGGCCAGGACTTGATTAATAACTGACAACTTCCCTAATTTTTGTCCCTGTTTCCAACTTAGGTCCAACCAGAGAATGCAAGATATGTACCTCTAATCACATAGGATGCCCCACTTCTAGTTAGCCAACCTGCAGCTTCCCCATGCCAATGACCCCTAATCAGCACATACCTGAAGCCTTCCTTTTTTCCACAAAAAAGTTTTTTTATTTCTCTGCCTGCCTTTGAGGCTCTACCAAAACACAAATGACA